CCCTTTGATGCAAAAGCAGCAAGACAGAGTCATTCTGGGAGCTGGAGCTGGTCCTTGAGGTGGCCAGGCAATCATCTGGGGTAGGAGATGGCAGTGTAGGAATCGCATGGGTAAAGGTACATGTAAAAGCAAAAGTAAGCTATATCTGAAGTTCCCTTTCCCTGCTCAAGGCAGGTATGAATACACATCCTGTCCTCCTCACCATGCCGGTTGGCAGCTCTGTCTTTTTCTGCAGTCAGTACTTTTCTAGCAACAAACTCTACAAACCACAGCATTTCTGAATTGAAGCAAATGAAGCTGAAAATCACAAAAGCATCTGCAGCTCTAGTGTAGTTATCTTCCAAAGACGCTGACATCAAATAAAACAGTACAGACGTCTATTAGGAAGCCTATCTTATTGACCCGCATTTTAGGTATTTAACCATGGCCGATTAACAGCACAGGAAGATTTTGTTTATTCTTTTCAAAAGCTGCTTTTCTTAGGAAAAAAAATTGCATTTTCCATAATTAACTCTTCACTTGATACTAGAACTGAGCAACTATTCTTTTAATTGCACCTGGAATCCAGATGGTTGGAGAACATCCCTTAAGAACCCATTTATTAATGTCCTCTTCTACTTGCGCTCTTTGTACTTGTTTCTGAGGCTCTGGGAGGTGGTGAAAGCGCATTTCTACTAGGCAGATTTCCTCCTAGGAACTGACCTGAGAAAGAGATCCAAACTAAGAGCATCTGACATTCAAGAGCTACATTTATTTCCTCAGGACTTTAATATCTAATTAAAACAAAACAAAACTTTATTACTTGTTTTAAAAGGAGGCAAAAAGAAATACGATCAATGAACACTAGCTATGCCAATTATATTTTAACATTACTAGTAACAGGATCCAGGACATGAAAAAAAAGCAGCCAAATGAATCCCATGTGCTTTCTGGAGACACATAGATAAAAGGTATTTTTCAGTATTGTGGTTTTGCTCTTCAACTATGTAGATAACATGGTGAATGCAAAAAACATTAAATGTGAGCCTGCTAAAACGCGGAATTGTACCACACGGGCAGCAAACCACACAAAGCAAAGGTCGTAAGGAATAATCAGACCTCCTGTTATCAGCAAAGCTGCATTTGATTTGGAAAATTGTCAAGACTGGCTTTAGCTCAGGCAAATGGAGCATCCACCTCTTTCCATCTGGCAGAGAAAGAAAAAGCCAAAGTTATTACAGAGCTGAGCAACTTCAATGCATACTTTAAAAGGGTGTAACTGATGCTATGCTATGAAACTGAAATAGTCAAAAGTGTATTTATATGCTTTTAAATATAGTCAGCAGTATTTCCCATTCCCTCCCCATGGAACTCAGAACATCTAGCTACAAAATTCACCCCCTCTGTCTCCCCCGGTCTCTCCATAGCTGAAGAGATTATAAAGTGCAGTCAAAGCAGGGGGCAGGGGAAGGAGAATGGCAGGAATCTTTATCCCTCCTTCCCAAACCCTGTTTAATAAACTCAGACGGCCCCATTTCAGAAGCAACCTGCAACCTCAGTTTAGCTAAACTTGTTAACAAGTCTTGGGACACTCGGTGGGCTTTTTTTCCTTTCTTTTTTGGAGAATGGGGAAACAGAATAAAACCTGGAATTAAGATTATAAGAGATAGTATTTCTGCAGCAAATTTAGAAACACTGCAGTACTCCTGATTTTAATACACCCATAAATTTTAGGTACTTTCAGGCGTTCTTCAAAAGCCAGGCTGTACTGGCAGAAGCTTTGGACTCACTCCCACAAGTAATTCCTTGCATGCAAGTAACTACTTGTCAGCCTGATGAAAATACGCACAAATACAGAAATCTGGACTGAGCCCTTGCCAGGACTTTTTGGCAAGTCACAAGCTGGGGCTAGTGTTGGCTTTTACATAACTATGTGTATATCCATATCGAATACCGTGATGCAGCAGTAACAGATATTACCAAAAGCCTAGAGCAGATGCTGAAAGCAACCGAGCTAAAATTATATGGGGTTCCACAGAAGCAATTTACTCTGCTAAAAAGTAAAGCTTCACAGCACTGTTGCTACCTGTGAGTGTCTGAATTAGTTCTGCACTGTACCCCCAGGTGCAGATACAATCGAAAATAGCATGTTTCTGGATGAGACATGTATTAAGCATAAAATATTTCACCCAATGATGTCTGGTACATCTCTGGCATGTTTAATCAGAAGGATAAACAATCTAGACACTGAAATACAAACTTATTTTTCCTTAAAATCAGTGTTCCATATCTTTTTATTTTAAAAATTCAGGAATGTGATACACAATACAATTAGCTCCCCACCACTGCAGTGTTCACTTACATGAGATTCACTAATTTCATGCTTTGTGGAAAAAAAAAACGACCAAAAAAAAGACAAAAAAAAGACAAAAAAAAGACTGTGCAGTGTTTTTGAATGCTCCCAGTATTCTGGAACTGCAATCTTCAGAACAAATCAAGCCTGTGTAACCACAGACAGAGCAGGTTGAAAAAATCAAGCTGTATCGCAAGCTATCAGGCTACAGTCAGGTCTCCTACAGCCAGAACAGACACCAAAATGGTGTTTCTGCTGCCATCCAGCCACCACCTTGACCTCACCATATGCTTTCAGGGAATCTGCCTGACTGAAGGGCCCCGTTAATACCAGCTGGACATGCAACACGGCACAGGACGGAGAGGCCACGCAACTCCCCCTTCTGCCTCCACCACCACCACCATCATCATCATCACATCTGCATCTTGTCCCAGTAAGAAAAATAACGTGGAGGAGAGCTTTTTGTCTTTTAAGCTAGCCATTGCCTGCAATGGACACAGAAATAGAAAAATATGACTTCTGGGACACAAGAAAAGATTAAATAGTTACAATGGAATTAGTGACCACAACTCCATCGATTCAGATGCATTTACTGAGACTGTTAACCAATGGCGGCAACTGTCAAGACTTTATAGTTGCTCTTTTTTTATAAGAGCAACGGGAGAGAAATAAATCAGGCTTCTCAGTGCTACGATGGTTTGTCTTGGCTTTTTTTTTTAAATAAACTAAAGAGCAGTAGTTCTATGGCACACTAGTGATATACAGCAGGACCTCAATAATTGATACTAATGACTGAGACCAATTTTAAACTAGTGAGCAAAATAATTAGTGAAAGTTTACCATAAAAAGCAAGGATATACATTTTAAAAAAAATAGTACTTTGTTAATTGCAAAATTTACTTGGTTAATACTCTGTAGTATACTTGCAGTGGTAGCATATTTTGCAAATGTAGTCTCATACAAGATCTCATTTAACAGTCAACTCTAGATCATATACAGGTAACAGGAGAAAGAGTTAAGGTAACTCAGACGAAACAAAAACATAAATATGTTAATATAGTATTTATATAAGTTAGTTTATGAGACTATACAACAAGCATAAACACAGAAAAAAGCGAATGATGTTGATAGCTGTGAGGCACCAACATCCCAAAGCTGAACCAACCCATCCACACACTGCAGCTTCCTCTGGGTGCATCTGAGCAGCCAAGAGGAAAAATAACCGCACCGTGCTGCGCTGCACCCGAGCTCACAAAATAACCCTGTGAGAGCGGGCTCGCATGAAACTGGACTGAGCTCCTTTACTTTTCCAATGCTTCGGCACATAGCATGTGGCCAATGCACTGGCGTACAACACAGAGCTGGTTTGGCCCTGTAGACTGCACAGTTAATATACAACACAGGTAATCCACCCATGGATAATCGAGAGTTGACTGCAATGCTCTGCTGAGAGGTTGGGTAAGACCACTGACACGACCTGGGCCAATCCCGGTCTGACGAGCAGCAGACTATTTTGAACTACTTAGGAGCAATTATCATAGGAGACACAAAATAGAAATGCAAACTAGCAAGGTGTTCTGTATCCAGAGGCAAAGCTACATTCCCTTCACTAACAAAACATTCTTTAAGAAAAAAAGAATCTACATTTAAATACTGTTAAAAACCTGAAAACCACAGCATCAAAGAAATTCGTAAGGCCAAAACTATCCTCAGTTCCCTCCATTGTGCCTAGGTATTGCAATACATTTACAGAAGTAAATACCATGCAATTTAGTATCTTATACTCCTTCCAGTGCCTTCCAGTAACAGATCTCCAAGCTCTTCCCACAAGAGTTAAGCCTCACAACACCCCTGTGAGGTAGGTATTATCCCCATTTTAAGACAGGGAAACTGAGGCAGAGTGTTCATCACATCCAGAGTCATAGAGCAAACAATGGAAGATCTGAGTTGTTTTCCAGTTTTGAGCATGGGAGCTGTCAATTAAATCACAAGACATTATTTCCCATACATAACTTGAGGGTGGACCAAAAGGGGCAAGGTTTTAGATTAGATTTCTTGTATGTTTTATCTTCAACTCTCATCTAGTCTCTGCCAAATCCACAGAGTCCATAGACCAGTTTCTCCTTGGTTAAGGTGTAAATTGGCAGCATACTGTAACAGCTTCTTTAGAGCCAGTTGTGAATTAATCGAGTTAACATTTTAAACCATAGATCTGGATACTTAATAAGTGAAATTATGTGATGCACAAACGTCTCCAAGTGTGAGATACAGTGAATGAAATATCACTCCCTGCCCCACTTCCTCAAAAATCAGCAGAGGGCTTCCTGAGGGCACTGCCAGGACCAGGATTATCGTCACTGCAAGTGCTTACAGACACACTCAACTACAAGCAAAACGCACCACTGAATTGCTTGTTATTGAGGCCACTGTCTATGCCTAAAAGCACGAATTATATTGTTGGTGTTTGGCAGACTTTCCCTGACAAAGCTCTTATTGACAGAACTAATTCTTTTGTCTTAGTAAACTGAGCATCAGTTAAAAATGAAGCTCCAGCTCCTCATTCATAGCACTGTGAGTCAAAGATTCTTTAAACTTCCAAGACTTTTGTGACCAGATGTATCTTGGAAATAAGGGAAAACACCAGAAAATCCATAACATCCAAAAGTATGTGTTATTTTATCAGTCTCACATCTTGATCACACAGCAGTATACAGCAGCTTGAACCTCCATTCTGCTAGGAAAAAAAAAAAACCTTTCACATCTGACACTATCACAAGTAGTTGATTTTAATTACCTCGCTGCCCTATCAGGAAAAGTGGGGACAGTTTCTAACAATCACTTGATGTTCTGTTTAAAATATGCTATATGACAAATTCATTAGAAAAGCCTTCACATTTATTATTTTATAGGTTTAAGAAAAATATGTGAAACTGCAAAGTGGTTTCCAGTTTTAAGTAGCTATATTTTTAAAAACGTTCTATGAACTTTGGTTTCCTTAGGGCTTCTAAATAAACAATATATTAAAATAGCTACAAATCAAATATTAAAGGAAAGAGTAGGTCCAAGAAATCTGTAACACAAGTTGAGTTCCTACATGCTTATCCCTCAAATACCTTTTCACTGGGAAAAATATTGTAATTTGAAGCACAGCAAAAAGTGTCTCTGCTGAGATGCTGAAACTGGTTTTCCAAAGTTGTTACAGCATTGGTGCACTTTCTGTCTGTCGGTACAAAAATCAACACAAACACATTGTATCATGACAGTGACATGTTATTTAAAACAAGCATTCTAGGTTTAGCAATATGACAAGAACAAGGACTTCAGCAATTACACTACTTGGCAAAATTGCATCTCAAACGTCTGTCTCTTCCTCTTGCAATAGAGCTGTTGTCACAGTCACCAGAAGTCAGGTAGCACCATTCAGGGAGTTACAAAGATGATTCAAACTGCTCGTTTTGATCGATGTTTCCCTCTAGCTTCACTGCAGGGATGCTCTCCGACTTAGTCCTTCTCGTTTTCGGAAATTCAATGACAACTTCTGAACAAGAAATACTAAGTGACGAAGATTTTTCTGTCTTCCTTGAAGTACTGTCTTCTCCTGCTCCGCAACACTGCTTCAAAGCACACTGAGTCCTGCAAGGAAACTCGCATTTCCCTCTCCCTGATTCAGAGCCAACGCTGGCAAACTCGGGCTGAATGGTAGTTGCGTGAATCCCTTCATCATGAAATATCTCTTTTATGCGCTTCGCCACCATCATGTACGTGGAAGGGTCAGGACACTTTATGTGAGCAGTGCCAATGATCCTACTGCCTGCTAGCTGCCAAATGTGTAATTCATGGACTGCTTCAACTCCTTCAAGGGTACGTAATTTTGAGTTCAAAGAATGAACATCTATTTGTTTGGGAACAGTTTGCAGAAGTATAAGGGCTGACTCCCTAAGTAACGGGTAAGTTGTATAAAGGAGTATGCAAACCATAATCAAACAAAGGACAGGATCTAAATACAGCAACCAGCATGGACCAGCCACTGTAATGCTCTCCTGCTCAGACACGTTTGCTTTGCCAAGTGTTTGGGATAAAGTAGCATTTTCCATGCAATGGTTATTGACACATGGATTAAAGCAGGGTCCATCTTTGGGGCATGGATTCCACAACCCATAAAAGAGCAAGGCATTGACTACCACAATTACTGAACCTAAGGCATCTCCGAAAACATGCAGAAAAACTCCACGCATGTTAAGCTGTGCACTAGAGTCTTCTTCAACCTCCTCTGCATCCAGAGGATAATGACCAGCGTTCCCATTCACTTGTACATCAGTCATGTCGTCTTTCATATCGCCTGACAAGAAAACAGTGAGACAATTAGGCATATGCTATAATACCACACATTACTATAATTCCATATAAAATAATAACCAACACTAAGCTTGCCACATCAAGTACAAAACTGAAAAGCAAGCAACTCTTCCCTTAACACTCAGCAGCATTTTCTCTGGCTGAAAAACATTCAGTTGTCCCAGTAAGTGATCTAAATAGTCTAGAAGGCAATTGTTTCTACATGAAGCTTAAAGATGTATAGTGGCAAAGTACTAAGACAACCACATTTTAATTTATTTTACTGAAAAACTGTTTTCGCATTTTCCAGCTGTTTAACCATTTGACAACTCACTGTTCATTTCTTAAACAAAATACAGAATTACACACCATATCTAAAAAAGCTGGTTAAGCAGCTAAGTAACTTACATTTGTTCCCTCTTTTGAAGAGCCAGAAGACTAATCACATTGTTTAAATCTCTCTTAAACCATAAGATTGCATCACTATTTTATATTAAAATTTATTCGGCCAGAAGCTCAAAAGTTGTATGGATACTGTTTCATAGTAACTTCTTTCTGGGTTTAGTAGTTCATTTCCAAAAGACTTCTGAATTCCAGAAAAAGGAAGCTTTTCTGAGATGGTGCATGGAGCCATCAGAACTGTGAGACACAATGAACTGAGCTTTTAAGTTTAAAATGCAAAATTTATCAGCAGCATTGACTACAGCATGGTGTAAGTTATCACTGAAGCTCTCAGAGGCTAGGAACTAGTGTTATTTATATTTCAGAGTACATAAAAAATGTATTTTTAATTTTTTTTTTAAATGACATACAGCTGTTGAGTGACATATAGCAGTTGATGCTCAAAGCCATGTGTCACGGACAGTGCAATGCATAAATGAACATTTAAGTGCCCTCCTTTGTCAAAACTGTCTGCGACATTACTACTCCATCACACCTAACTAGCTATATAGGAATAAATGCACACAAGGAAGGATGCTTTTTGAGAGAAAAACATTTTTCAATGTTCAGAATTGAAAGAATTTTACATGATCTTACATCCTACTTTTCTCCAAAAGTTTTTCTCTGGACAAAAAATTACCAGTGTCAAAGAAATGTAATGGGCACTGGCCACTGGCCCAGCAAACTGAAACAAGGAGCTCTTACTGGTTCTGTGGTTATTGAGTTCAGAGCTGTGTAAACATTAACACGCCAGGACAACCTGCAGCTCCTGCCACTCTGCTCTCATGACTGCAGTTCTGTAATCCTAAGGTGTCTACAGGTTCTTTCCTCCCTGAAAAAGGGGTGGGCTCCTACAAAAGTGGCTGAGCGGCTCAATTGCAAGTCCCGGGCTTCATTACCTTGTGCACCACACTTCTGTCCTAAAGCTCCAGCTACATTTTCCACACAACTTCTGGGAGTTATGGAATGTGAGACCTGTAACTTTCCAGAGAAATCAATAAATTAGAGGAAAATATCTCCGGTTACAGAGTTCAGAGCTCAGGGTCCACGATGAGAGCAAGGAAAGAGGAACTTTCCTGACACTCTGCTGCATACCAAGTACTTGGAACAAAGAAGATTTGGAAAGTCAGCAGACCTACCTATAAGGGTGTATAACAGGAAACACGGTTCCAGAAAGCTCTTGAGATTCTTTTTACTAGCAAATGGTTAAAATGTGTCTATTTGAAATATGCTTATTCAAATCCAACTAGAAACTGATTACTTCATGCAAAGTCTATGTGCAAAGATACCTGTGTGGGACTAGGCCCTAACACTATCACCAGCTTTCCAGTCGCACGTTAGGAAATCAAGGTCTAGCCTGCTCTGTAATTTCTAGTGAAGACAAAGCACCGCTCTCAGTCACTTCCCTACTCTTCACCGATGCATCTCACAGCTTCTCATAAGCCTCTGAGCATGTTTACCTGTAACATTTCCATGGGTAAACTGTGAATAACTCCATCCATTACATAATCATGACAAGGCACAGAAGGAAATACAAACTTATTTCAAAGTTTCACTGTGACCAAAATTATACCCTATTACCAACCTAAATACCCACAACAAATTATTCGTTATTGCCAGAAGGACATCCATGAGAAATTCCAAACAAGTTAGTTCAAAACAGTATACATTTACATTTCTGTAATTTTATAATCTGTTAGTCTAGAACTAGGCCAAAGTTTGGCTAAAAGCACAGCTTCAGTTTCAACACACAAGAACAATTCACAAGCCAATCTATTCGATCAACAGATAAGGAAATTTTACACTGTTTAATTAAAAGGATACCTTTGTTGGAACTAAACCAACATTAAGAGCATATTATGCGGTCAAGAAAATGGTGTAATAAATTCAGACCAACTTTCCTATCCTCTTGCAAAGCCTGTCTTTTCAAAACCAACATGGAGTTGAAACACTAAGGAGAGAGAGAAACTGCTAACTTTCTCAACTGTGTATTGGAACCTCGGACCACAGAAAAAACTGAAACTGTAGCAAAGTTCACCCTGCTCAATTAAAACTCAGTTTAAGCTCAAACAGTGGTCTCCTGATGTCACCCTGAAAATAAAGGGGAGATGTAGGATCTGAAGACTGAAGCCCCTTTCCTCTTTTAACAGCGGTGCCAAATGATTGAGAAGTGGCAATTGTGCACCTTTCACTCCGCTAACATGCAGTACTTGGCTTAGACCAAGTGACTTCAAAATAAACTATCCAGGCTTCTGCATCCATTAAAAAAAACAACCCATGAAATTCCCTCCCACCAAACTGACAGTTTCATCACAATTGGGAAGAGAAGATTTTAAATTTATCTCTATGTGCGAGTGGGAAGGTGCATGCTTTAGAAAGCTAAAGAAAAGTAACTGGGAGAAACCACGCGTGTGCGCTGACACCAGTGAGCTCCACATTCAGTGCCTACTGCGTGACTTCCACAGTTCTGACTGGTAATTTCGAAGACTTCTTCCTATTAATACAGATATCATGAAGAAGTACCACCTTATTGCAACGGAATATACTTCAGTATATTATGTTCAGATTGAGATTAGCTTCTCAAGTGGCTAATAACCGACCCGCTGGAGAGATCTGGCTGTCAGGACCAAGGTGCTGAGCTGCCCTCTATTTGATGTGCAGCCAGTTCAGGAGGCATTAGGGCAATGTCTTGTGACAGCTTGTGTCGCTAGGCAAAACACACTTGTCATGTGCCTTCTCTACCAGCACCAACTTTTTGCAAGGAAGACTGCTTTATCCTAAGACCCTGTAATGCTTTGACCTCCCTGCAACACAGACAGACGACTCAGGGCACTCCTTTTAGCCCCTGAAGGAAAGGCGTGAGGTAGAGGTGCAAAAGCCATGTGCCCAAGAGCACCGCTAAGAAAGTTTCTTGCTTCTTCCCCAGGAGGAAGGATGGGTGGTCCCCACAAAGCGTGCACCACGTGGGACCAGGATGCCCACCGCTTTCTTCAGGTCAGGGACCTCTTCTGCTTTCCTCTATGATGGGATGGGACAGAGGCACTGCAGGACTTACCTAGCTTTTCCTGACTGACCCCGTTGGAGCTGCTGCAGTTCTCCACCAAGGTGCTGGTCTCCTCCCGGTGCAGAGCAGCTTCCCCATCCCCGGGTGGCTGCTCCGGCTTGGGGCCGCCGCGGGAATGCTGCCTGCCGCTGTGCGAGTGGCCGTGGCCGTGGGAATGGCCGTGGCCCCCGACACCGTGGTGGTTGAAGAGGCAGAGCCCCAGTAGGTTGATGATGAGTCCCGCCACCCCCACGCCGATGACCACCAGCGGCTGCTGGATCTCGTGGGGCTCCGTGAAGCGCTCGATG